AGGAATGCTCAAGCAGGCTTTTCTATTTCTTTTCATGTCCTGAGGGTTGAGTTTTGTCCTTCTTGTTTCCTGCAGCCAAGGAATACTGTGAACAGCCTTTTTTGGATATTTGACCAGTGCCACATGTTTATTACCACTCACTGTAAATTGTACGTGCTGTGCCTTGGGTATTAGCCAACATATTAACACAAAGAATAGAAATAAAACCTCCAAAACCGAGGGGCAGACTGCTCTCTAGATGCTGACATTTTCCTGACCAGGGAAGTTACTGCCTCAGCTCAGAAAGCACCTGGAATAGACCCACCTGGAGACCAGGGAGTGCAGGCAACTCCACAAAGATGCTAGAGAAGAAAGGAGGAAAGATGCTTCTCTTCCACCCTATACTTCTGCTCAAGTAGGAGAGCTGGACTACTGGAGGGAGGGGAAAGGCATGCACCCCACAAAAGAAAAAGGCCACCAAGGTAGATGCTTATCATTTTATGACCCTTCTTTATTTTTAGATAAGAGACACTCGGTAACACCGAGAGTATTTATACCTGTCCAGATCTTTCCTCTCCTTCAAGACATACAGCACATTACTATAAAAAGAGGTATTCAAGCATAATTAAAAACCTGCCATGAATTTTGTTTTTCTGTTTGCTTATTTTTTTGAGATTATTACCGCGGCAATTACATTTAAAAATTCCAAGAGGAGAGGCCACTGGTTTATTATCTCCAGAAAACAGCAAGCTACTTCTCTGCCCTGTTTATCTGATTGATTCCCAACATCTTTCTGGCACACAATCTATCAGTTTATCTCTCCCACTTCATCACAGTCACTTCTGGCAGCTAAATACAAGATCCAAATCCAGTGTTACACAGACATACGACACAGTAAACCTGTGTAACACCGCCACTCTGTAAACAGCTGCCCTTAAGGCTACGCAGAAATGGGATCTTGGTTCCTAGTCAATATTCTGTCAAAAGCAAGGTGGGAGGGAGGGTTTTAACAGCAGCGAGAAATGGTGCAGCAAGGTTTTAGCCGTTTCTTCCCGTACCAGCAATAAGGAGCGTTTACTGCCTCATGTCTTGCTTCTTTGGAAAAAAACCTGCTGAGTAGCAACTGCACGAGAAGACAGCAATGCGCAGGCGTCCTCCACCCCGACCCAACCAAGCAGCAAGACGTCTTCAGCAGAACTCACTCCAAATCCACAGAGCGGCGGACTAAGGAGTGTCGCCAAGATCTCACCGCTGTCTCGTAGAATCACAGGTTGCTGGGTTGGAAGAGACCTCAAGGATCATCTTGTCCAATCCATTAAGGTAATGAAATAGAGTTTAAATAAACTAGCCCAGCACCCCGCAAAGCTGAGCCTTAAAACTGTGTAAGGTTGGGGAATCCATCACTTCTCTTAGAAAAGTATTCCAACGTCCGATTGCTCTCATGGTGAAAAATTTTCCTCTGGAATCCAATAAGAATCTCCCCAGGAGCAACTTGTACCCATTACCCCTTTTCCATGTGACTCCTCGTAAAAAGAGAGTCTCCACCTTCTTGGTGGCCACTTTTTACATCCTGGTACCTACTGGTCAGAACAAGATGCATTTTTGGGGGGCGCCAGCCGATCGGCTGTTAGTTGAGGCAGAAATGGTTTTACTGACCTTGGGGCTGACGGTGAAATGTTCTTGCAACACAGCATCAACCACGGGACTGGGGGCACCACTGGGGAGACCAAGGGAGACAAAGACCAGGGGGAAGCGGAAAAAACCCAGCAGGAGCAAGAGGGAAATTAGGGAATAGAGGTAAAAGCTGCGAAGCACCTTATTACATCTGAATAGCGCACGTCTTAAAGCTCAAGTTATAAATCATGCTAACAATGGTTACTAAAATAAAAGTGGATGTAGCCAGAGGCTACCACTGAAAAAGTCAGTCTAGACCTGCCTCGCTGCCTTTGGTCTTTAAGGATTTGATTAGTTTTTCCGCTTTCTAGTTCACCGTCTCGCAGGCAGCCCATGCTCCAGAGCCGGCTAGGGCTCAGGATACAGAATGAATGATAAATTCATTTACCGAAGAAAGCAACACTGTTTTCACAGCGCAAGACTTAAAACACTTCCGAAGCTGTAATATTTCATTAAGCTTGGCGATTCTGGTTAAAATTTATTAGTCAAAACAGAAAGCTCTCATCAGACCCCATATATTCCATTAGGAGTGATGTATGGTGTCTCCCAATGTCTAATTATTAACTAGGAAGTGTAAGTAAATCACCATCAGCATTAAGCCCTGATGTGTGAAGACGGAGTTTGAGTTAAGTAACTTCAGCATCAAAAGGCTTTGATTTGAAACGTATCCTTTTTTTGCTTTCCCTCCTTCACATCTTCCCTGAACTTCAAAAACCCAAGCTCGGTCTCCCACATAAACGAACGCGACTGCCTACCCGTGACGAAGCGCGGCCACGGCCGGCTGCAAAACTACCTGAGCACGCGAGGGAGCTTAAAACCTGTAGCCGCGAGCACAGAGCAGGGCAGCGCACCCGCACGATGCGTCCGAAGGCCAGAGCTTCAAAAGCGGTTGGGATTCACCTACCCTTGCTGACACCAAAGCCACTGTTAAAACCGACACTGGAGTCACCGATGTGTGCTTTCAAAAGAATTCACCTTAAAAGGACTCTTTCTCTAGGCTGGTTAAAGAGATGCACGCAAAGTACACTGCACAGAATTAGAGGGATTTAGGGATGCCGTCAGGGGGTTGTTGAAGGGTAATAGAGATTCACTCCTCATTTTAGAGGTCAATTCTCATTTTAGAGGTTAGGTCTCATTTTCATGCACTATCTATCAGTGTTTCTAATACTACAGTTGCTGACCTTTCTGATTTGCAGACCCCTAAGAATTTCCAGTGGAGACAAAGAGCTAAGCACAGCTGAAATAAGCCTCATAACAAAAGGCTCCCTTCTCTTAGACCTCAGATCAATTCACATTAATACCTCGCAAAAGTTGAGCTACCGTATATCACGGGCAACAGCCAAGTTTACAAAGCACCTCAGGAACATCATCACAACAAAAAGAACGTGTTTTCTCTGATCTTAAGAAAATCTTCAGGAAAGTCAGGAAAGGCAAGGAGTACCTCTCCTACGTGGTGTAAAAGCCACCAACTCTGCCCTGTGCATGGCACCGCTGCCTTCGAATTCGCCGGCTGGATACAGGAGGAGGCGAGACGCAGCCCCAGCCCAGCCGCTGGATGAGAAAACAGTCCCATCGGGCTCCCTACTGCAAAACGACTGTGCAGAACACGGGAAAACAGCTCCTTGTAGCACCTCTGCCATCGTACTCATTTGCTGAACACGACAGGAAAAGATTTGAGTTGCTGTGGATTCTGAAACAATGAGAAAAATGGGAGAAACCCAGTCTGCAGGCTTACCAGCAGCTGTTTATCTTTATTGGAACACTCTGTCACTCCGTGGCTAAAAAAATACTCAGTCTATTAGTGAGGGACTCTAAAATATTTGCAAATTGCTTATGTGGACTTTTCTAGCTAAACATGTATTTGTTACTAGAGACAGTAAGCAAACAATTATTGTGGAGTTGAAAAAATGTATTACTGTTATCTGTTAATGGTTTAAAAAGTAGTTACTTTTTAACAACACCACCATAGGAAACAAAACGAGAGACGTGAGTCACAACCTGTCAAGTTCAAGTGAGGCAGTAAGACTGCAACCACCACGTGCTTTTCCTCTTCCCTGGCGAAAACGCAAAGTCACTCCTGAACTGAAAGTTGACAAAGCTGCGTTTTATCAATGTAATTTCAACTTTCTAATTTAAAGTTTTTCCCATTTATTCTTTGGAGAGACATGGTAAACCACATGATCTTTTCCTTCTTTTTCATATTAACACACCACACAACTATTTAAAGCAGCATAAATTATGAAAAGGTTGCTTCTAGTCCAGGACTCATTCAGCACGCATTTTACGCTGCATCCTGGCCAGGCACGGAAACAAGTTGTTTCTTTCCCTTCTCAAGCTCCCAAACCATGGGGGTGTAACACCATTTGGATTTCTACAAACTGTAGAGCAAATTTAGACTGCGGCTCAAATGCTATTTTTAAATCCCTCTGAAACACTTTTTTAAAATGCAATTTTCTGCCAACTATTTGTAATGTCAAAATCGAAACTGCAAGATGAAACCAGTGGGCAGTCACTTTTTTGGAAAAAAAACCCAAACAAAAACATTTTATTAAAATTCAGTTTTGTGTAGAACACGCCCTGCCTCACCTATTTTCTAATAACCCATTAAGAGAAGCTCCAAATCAAGCTTTAAAATGTGTTATTAACCATCTACCCAGCCATTTGAAAGATACATGTCCGTGATAAGAGTATTGTATTGCCATTAACCTGTGGGACGGTTCGAGACATCTCTTATTCACACAAAACTCTAAATGCATCTAATTAAAGTCACAAGATCAGCTGTCCATATTAATCACTCACCACTTTAATTAAGGTAAACCAGCTTGTCAGAAAGCCAGTCTTCTCTCTATTCTTCACCATTATGGACTTTTAATAGTTGGCTGGACTAGTAATTGCTTGTTTAGGGCATTATCAAATACCTGGGAGTGAAAGTCACGGCAGGCGCCCGGGGAACTGCTTCAGGCCACGCTCGCTGGGGACACGAGGAAGAAGTTACGGTGTCAGCTGAAGTTTTTTGAAAAGCCACACGGTGTGAGTCAGACACAAGTAGAGGTCAGAAGAGAAACCAACTGAGCTAGAAGCGCCTGAACAAGAGGTTCAGACCCGGAAGTTTTGCGGTTGCTCAGATTCCCGCCCGCTCTGGCTCCGCTCGGCTTCTGAAATCGTGGTGGTCACGGGCCAGACTGATGACGACGGGTCCTAAAACAGGACGACGCACGACGTAGCCAAAATCAGGGGGAGGAGGGAGCAGGACAGTGGAGTAAAAAAAGGGATTATGTATAGTCCTAATTCTCCTGAGGCGTACCTGCCACTATCAATGATGAACATTTGTTCTGCAAAGAGCTGCTACCAGCGGAACGCTTCGCATATGAACACTAACCTAATTCCTGTTGGAAATAAACCAATTTCCACTCTCCCCTTTACTAGAGGGGTATTTCAACCTAGTAATAAAATCTCCACTGCAGCACGTCCGACCAGCAGCCCTCTGGTAGCAAGCTGGAATTTTAAGTTTTAATGTCACAGTTCTAACGAATTCTACGTAAATACGACTTCGAAAAATCAAAAGTCTTTTTCTTCCCTTAAAACCACATACAAAGGAGAGTTTAAAAGGAAAGGAGATGGGGTCTAGCCTCTCACTGCTGTCAGTAATGACGGCCCTTGTGAAACAGTTTAACCCAAATAAAAATATTTCACCTGCATTACTCAGCTCAGCTTTACGTTATCGCTCAACGTGGGCCGTCACACTAAAAAACCGTAACTGCTCATAAATCAAGTGAAGAATATGAGAAAAGGCAAAGTGGGATGAATAGATAGAACAGAGTTAAATCCTGAATCGTAAAATTCCACCAACTCCACGTGGTGAATTCCACTGAATACCAAGATCTGGGTGAGAAATTGTTTTTCCACAGGAAAAAAAGATTCATTAAAAAGTTTTGTATTATAATCTGTAACACAACAGTAGAGTTACTTATTCTGTTGTTATTAACTTGGGCACATTCACCAGATCTCATTCATTTTTACTTGCTTAATTTCACACTGAAATACACGGGTAGTTGCTCTCCAATGTCCTTCTTTATCGGAATGTTTACCTTTAGTAAAGGATACGTGGCCAGCAAAATCAGCTAATCATTGTAAAGCGTTATCTAGAAAAGTGAAAGCGATACTGAACAAAAGTCTGGATCTCAACGGAAACACAATCTGAGGAAAACACTTTATGAAATCCCATTTAATTGGGAGGTGATGGAAAACACACGCAGCTGTTTTCTCCAGCTTTCGCACTGAATTGGCTGGAGCTCCAATCTCTGGCAGATCCCAGTCTGGAGCAGACATCACCCAGGTCAGCGGAACAGGTGCCACGTCGTGTCTGGCAAGGGGCCGGCATCCCCACAGTTCACTTGCACGCGACAAAGCGGTAATCTTTACAGATCGTCTCGCCCAAGGAGCATATTGGGCACAAGAGGAGAAGGGTGGGAGGGATATTAAAAAAAAAAAAAACAAAAAAAAAACAAACCAAAAACAAGCAAGAAAGGAAAATGAATGTGTAGCTGCCTCGCGGCTCAGCAGATGTCTGCGCGTGATGTACGAGGGTAGGATAAGCTGTCGGAGCCTGCTGCCAAGGAGCGGTAAGTGATTAAAGCATCCGCCAGGCTAAGCACCATATTTAGAGTCTATGGGGTTTCGGAGTTGCACCCATTCCTCGCTGTGCTGCCAGATGTTGTCGGCTGGTCCCGCTCCCGCTCGCTGTGCGCAGGAGGCAGCAGTTGCTAGAGCAAGGAACGCAATCTGGAACGTTTCCGGAGGTGCCGTACATTAAACCGGTGTCACCCATCCTTCACCTCTACCCAGTGCTGAAACAACTCCAATTTGCTGCCACTTCCCTCTTGGGAAACGGCCAAGATACAGTCGTGCCTGGCAGACCCATTTGTTTTACGCAGGTGATTCTCTTCCCTCAATGACCTCTATTAGTTTAAGTTTTAATTTAGATTAACCCCAGCACCCCAATTAACCAGTGAGGGGAAAAGCTAAGCTGTGACTAGTCATATTTCTGAAATCACGATTTATCGAAGTTAAAGTTATTAAAAGGAAAGACGGGCCATTCATCTATTGCTATTTTTCTTTCAAAAAATGTAACTTTTCACGGCCAATAAGCACCTTCTCTGCACAGGTCCAAAGACTGTCAATCTCAGCTATTTCTCCGTGACCACAATTTTGTTATCCTAACTTAATTTGTTCCGTGTTCGCAGGGTCCACTTGGCCCCCAAAGCCGGGCTTCATTCAATATTCAGACGGTCCTAATTCCACACTATTTGAGATCTACTGCAAAAACTTTCTTGGACTCCTACAGCAGTAGGGTTGGAATTGCGTGGTAAATCTTCTTGGAGAGGGAAAAGAAAAAAAGGCAGCATTAAAGTTCTCTACATTAAAGTTCTCTACATTTCTGTGCAACACAAATAAGATTCACCAATTTTATACATTTTTTTATCCACCTTTGGTCCTGGCTCTGTACATGAAACCCCCCATTTTTAAGTATTCAAATGCTTCTGATTATATCAGTTATCAGAGCACAGTCCCGCAGCAACAGCTCTCTTCCACTGCCCTAACACCTAACTAGCCTCTCTAGAAACTATTCTGATCAGAGATTTCTGTCTTTCTAATGATACAATGATATTTGTTCAGTCCTGAAGTAAAAGCTCTCTGTGGACCATCAGAGCAAAACTACTTTTTGTGTCTTGGGGAAGGACGCACAGTGAATCATACTCCTCAGTACATGGCAATTTCAGTATTTCATAAGGCTGGCACTGTCATTTATTAAATAAATTACAAACACAAGGGTTCCCTAAGCTGCAGCTTCCACGCACTGGGTGCAGATTCCTCCTTTCTAAGAATTTTGCAAATAAAGAGAATACCTGGCCTAAATCCAAGTTGGCACACCTCCAAGAAAAGTGTTAGAGGAGCCCTGCAGCTTTTCCATTCAGTAGGTAGATGAGATGACTTAGGTTGAGATGAGAGTGACTTAGGTGCTTTTGAGGATCTACTAGAATCGTTTTTCATAATGGGACTCTACCCACAAAGAACAGTGACCTTCAGAGAGAACTTTTCTCTCGCGTAGCAATGTCTGCCAGCGAGAACAACAGGCACACATCTCATCCGTGTGGAGAGCTAAGTCGGCGGGGGTACGTACAGAGATTTCAGATGTCAAACCAGGTAACTGAATTTCCTTGGTGGGAGGAAATTAGAGCACAGAACGCACTGCATTAGCTCAGAAAGTATTAAAAACCAACTGGAGGCATAATTCCAACACGGATTTACCATCACCTACCTGGTGATAAAAGTCATCATCGTCAAATATCTCCTCATCTATGTCCTTCAGGTGCCTGTTGGAATCTGACTGGGGGAGAACTTCCTAGAAGCAAAAATGAAGAAATACTGAAAGCTCGTACCTGCATACGCCTGTCCCCAACTCTGATGACATCACACGCAGCAGCTTGTTAACATGTTTGAAGACAGGAAGAACAGAGGAAAGCTCCCAACATAACAAGCTCTTAAGGACTAGGAACACATTTAAAGGCAAGGCAGAAATGCTGCCAACGCCAAACCAGATTTATGATACCTTTACTGTGAAATAAATAGGACCGTGCAAAGTCTTTCTGGCGAAATACTACAGATATTTTTAATGTAATGGCAAAAATACATCTTGCAAGTGCAGTAATTCTACATAATCTCTCGGAACCGAGTATTTATTCATTCTTAAATACTAAATTAATAATAGACTTACTACTAACATACTCTGTAGGCTGTATGATGTGGTGTGATTTTAGAAGAGACTTTCTGGCTTAAAGATTCTAAACGCTAGAGCAAACCCAAACTTTTTGGAAACGGAATGGAAATGTCTACACCTTCTTCTTAGTGACTACATTAGAGGAATCAACATTTGGATACCTCCTTCACAAATCTCTCACAAACCAGGGTATCACCTGCGAAAGGCTCACGCTAATTGTTTTGCGGAGAGTTTCACTGATGCTGCAGGACGAGTTATAGAAACGAAATACCCTTACCGAGTTTTCAGGCAAAGATTCAGGGACCGGGTGAGATTCCTGTTCCGGCTTTCCCAGTATTGTGTACACTGATCGCTTGGTCTGTGTCCGCCGTAATAACCTCTCCTTGTCCATCATAATATGATCAATCTGAGCCACGATTGACTGCTCAAAGGCACCGAAACCCTGCAACAACATTAACTAGTGTCAGATAATGCAGAAAGCTTTTCCTCAAGGCAGTAATGTTCCTCTATCTTTCCATGTCAGTGGATAAGCAGACAGCGTTCCAAGAGGAGGGGGTTTGGGTTTCATTGCAGGGATTTCTGCAAGGATTTTTTATTTGTTTCTCCCTCTCTTTCTCCCTTCACAACCGGAGGCAACTTGACGCCTGGCTTAATAAAACGCCTTTGCTGTTCTGGTTCAGATGAACTTCTCGATGATTAATACTAACTCACAGACGTTAGGAGACCCCGGATCTTCGGGTGAAACGATTACCCGCTGTATTAAAGCGTACACTTCATGGAGGAGGAGAGCCACAGAAGCTCCTCTAGTTCTCTTACAAAACACAAAGAGCTTGTTGAGCAGCAGTAGTGGGATTTTCACAGTGCTTACTTGCTGCTGGAGACTGACAACGATGAGATGTCTGGTTGGGAGAACACCAATATTATCTATGAGAACTTTTTTTTTACTTCCCATCTGCTCAAAAAAAAAAGGGAGCAGCTCTTGTATTTGAAATTTGAGGGCCGAGCTTCTTACTAAACTCCTTTAAGGCTGGGGAAAAGCATGTACTATTTAACTGCTGTAACTCTCAACTTAACTTGGAAAACTCACAGTATGAAACTTTCAAATCAACTTGTTCCACAATCTCTGCTAAACAATAAGACATCAGGACATATAAACAAAGACTTGCCTTTCCCATTTTGCCAGATGCCAGCTTTGTCTTCTCGTGCCACTCCTGCAAGACCTTGTTTCGATATATCCTGAAGTCAGCGTACCGCTTGGCTATGAAGTCTGGATAGTCCTCCATCTTCAGCTTTCGCTTGGGGAGGCTCCTCTTCTTCTCCTGAGCCTTAGCCACTTGCTCTTCATCACTACTGCTAGGGATTTCATCGTCACTAGAGCAAAAACACGCAGATCAAACACCCTGCACCTCTCTAAGGCAACATGTACGAGTTCTTAACGGCCCCTCCACTACCACTCATACTTCTTCCATACCACTTAGGGAAAAAGACTTATGGTTTGGCCTTTCCTCCATTATCAGAAAGATTACAAATTTTTAATTCAAATGGTCACTCGTCCAGAGTGTCTGTCACCCAGATATAGCAGCAACTGAGCGAACAGCAAAGTGAGTACGGTCAGGAAGGCTGTGCTTTGTCCTGTTTGTTGGAGACCACAGAACACGGGAAGGTCTTATTTTGCATTTACCTCTCTGCTTTTGATTGCTTTCCATCTACCAGATGCCTCGTGGCTGGATTTTGATAAAATAGCTCATCCTGAAGCTCCACTAACAGTTGCAGCAATGCATCCACAGCTTTAGTACCTGCAAAAAAAAAAAAAAAAGACACAAGTGAAAATCTCCCACTAATCCTTGCTTGTGGTGAAAACTTAGCTTTGCAGCGCTTAGTTTCTCATCTTGAACCTGAATTTCTGCCACAGCTACCACATGATCCATTAACTGTTACTCTCTGATCAGTTATAGAGGTAGTTTTATCTTCAAGCTGATTTACAGCTGTTAATATCAAACACTGCCACGCTGGGAAAGAACAATTCTTTCCTAAAAAGGGAGGAGAGGAGGCAGGACTGCCTTCTCAACATCTGCCTGGCTGCACACCAGGAGGATACCTATCTAACATTTCATCGACAAACATTCAGACTGCAGAGCCTAAAGAATTAACAGACTGAAGAAGCAACTACTGTGTGCCGAAGCATCTGATGACACACACCTTTGACAACCTTTTTTGCTGATTCACTCATTTCTCTCCTGAGTTAAGTTCTGCAGCAGAGGCCAGCTTCACCTGAATAATACGCAGCAACACAAGGGAAAAAGGATATACGTACATCCCATTCCCATACATAATGTGCACGTTATAGGGAGCAGAAGGAGGGAAGGCAAGAAGAAAAAACAAACTCCTGCAGGGCTGTGACCACCGCTGGTTTCCGTGCTGCTGCGCTCACCACGCAGGAGGTAGAAGAAATTAAGATTGTAAGTAACATTAAATGTAGCAAGATCTGATCTACGGGGAAAACCTAAGCAAACACCTGGCAAGTCTAATGAAGAGATTCTGAGCAGAAAAGCAGAACTGCAGGCCCAGAGATCCTTAGAAAGCGAGAAAGTGAAGAAAAGACTGGGGTGGGGAGGTGTACAAAGTGATCGATACACGGTGTGAAGGTCAGTTTTACAGGGATGAGCAGTTACTGTCCAGTGTATTTGCAGACACGCATCCTGAAGGCAGATTCCATGCTGTTTATCCAAAGGCTTTCAGAGCTGACAATTTTCTCGCACCTACGCAGATGCAAAGAAAACGGTCTCTGTTCCAATGATCTTTCCTTCTCCAAGGGCACAGAGTTGCAGCTGACCGTGGGAAGGGTTAACTGCACACTGCTGCAGCATCTGTTCTTTAAAAATAGTTCTTTTGTGGCAACCGACAAGCCTCCCTGCAGAACGCACTGATATAAAACAAGTGTTTGTCTAGGCCTACACAAACTCTCCCTTTGTACGTCGCTACACATCAATCACAGGGTCAGCTCTTACAGGTAGAACACTTAGCACGCTCTTCTATAGAGAAACCTAAATTGAACTTTACACAGATTAATTTCTATTTACCTGACGCTGCTGTATTGCCTTCCACTCCTACAAAGAGGCACCACAGAAACGGGGAGGGGTGGAACACACCGCGTGGAGGAATGCAGCACCCCACTTCGGGATCTGCTTGCCCGCAGGACACGTTCAGGCAGGCTCGGTTCCCTCCCCAGGCATCCCGTCGGGCAGCAGTGTCGCTGCTGGCAGAGGACACGGATCTGTCCGAAGGGCAGGAGCAACACCGTGGGGTGGGAGGTTCCCCAGAGCTTCCCCTGGTACCTCCTCTGTTGTGAAATCAGGGGGGCTGCTCTGCTGAACTCCCAAACCCATCTCTTTCTTTGCAGTCAGCACAATGGAACAGAGAGAACTTTTCACCACTCCATTCTTTTCTGTTTTGTTTTTTCAAACAGAGGACACAGAGATCATGGATAGAATGAACAGCAAATCTTCATCAGCCAGACAGAGACACTGCAAGCAGAAATCAGCCCAGACATTCAGAGGTCTCAATCTCCCGCGTGTTACTCTGGTGATACCGCTCGGTTGTCACCATCTTCAGATAAATTATGGTCTGACCTCAGTAACAGGAATGTCAAGGAGAAGATGCTTTAAGATTTTTGTTGCAGATCAGCTGTTGGACTCATCCTCCCCGAGTCCGTGCTTCATTATAGACACGTTCTGACAAGTCTTCTATATAAACCTATTAAGGGATTAGGTTTTGCCGTACTTGTAAAACAGTCGCGTGTTAGCATCCAAACAATTCCAACAGACAAACAGACAAAAGCCCTCAGAAATGCATTTGTCGTATGTGTCTGCAGCTAAAGCATCACTTGCAAAAGGAAAAGTGCCCCCGCCCCAGCCCGAGTGCAAAGCTTACAACAGCAAAATCTTCCCCACTGCCTGCAACAGAGCTAAATGTCCCCAGAGCTTCCGAAACTGTTTATTTTCTCCCCGCTGCCTACCCTCCAGCAGCAGAGCTAATGCACCCCAGGCGGCTTTGATCCTGCCAATTACAACTGGAGTAGCACTCCAGCTCTTCTGGGGTATATCAGGGCCATGGCGAGCAGGCAAGGAATAAAGACAGGCTCAAGCTCCCCCAGGCTATGAGATACGGACCCCAACAGAAGTGGGGATGGGGAGTAATTTTATCCGGAGTGAAAGGGATGGAGAGGGCAGGGAAGACAATGACCGTGCGTCTAACCGGGTGGGAGGGCTAATTATTCCAGGCAGCAGCTTCATCGTGAGCCTCTCAGAGCTGGGTAATTTCCACCCTTTCAGTTCTTGTGTATTTAATAGCGTTATTGGATGGCATCCCCACTGTTACTGGTGGGTGCTTAAGCATGCTGTAAACTCAACTTCAGGAGCCAAGTGTCACCCTCCCCGGCCCTCTTCCCATCCAGCCCCGCCATATCCATTTCACAGTTAATTCCAGAAGGGACTGTTTTCTTCCTAGCCTCCTCTCCCTCTTCATCTTCTCTTCCTTCTAATGCCCTCATCTGCCTTTACACCGTCTGCTTTGGGGAAAAGACTGAATCCATTTGCGAATGAAGGCAGCATAAAACCAAACCGTTCCAACAGATGCAAACTGTGCCGTTCTCAAAGCAAGCCGGACACTAACCCTACTCAGTACGTTACATTTTAATGCTGTCCCTTTTCCAAAATAGACAATTAAATAGACAAAGGCCACAAACATGGAGCCTGCAAGCACACCAGTATGTTAAGGCAACCCACTAGCAAGCATTCCCATGCAATAACCACCAGGTTTGTACCTCTTGCTCCCTTCCCCGCCCTGTCCCCACAACAAAGCCAGGAACACCTCTAAGAGCACAGACAACGTCACAAGGGTCTCCTGCTGCCAGGAGCTGCGTCAGGCCCCAGGCAGTCCCTGATGATTTTTGGTTTCTTAAGCTTTCGGGACCAAGAAGGCATCAACACTACAGTTTTCACAAGCACCACAAACTGGCCAAGGCTGAAATGATGCTGCTAAAGCTCTGCGAAGCCTTTTCTCAAGCTGCCCTTTGGGAAACGAAAAAGGATGTTGAGTGGGATCCATCCACAGCTGCTCCAAGAACACAGCAAACGTGGTCTGAATGTAACTTCCAGCTTAAACAGGACTCAGATCATCTATGGTTGAGACTGTAACTTGTAAGAGTCACTTTTAGGAGTCCATGGGAGCCCCTTCATTTTGTGTACAGAAGTGAAAAAGTTGTTCCAGACCCAGCAGACAGCATATCAATCCACCAGAAAAGCTGGGAGCCAGTCTCAGTAAATCAAAGTGTGCCTTTCTGTTAATACTCTCTCGTACGGTCTCATTTTATACATCCCTTCACCCAGTCAGAAAGTAGCCCTGGAGTACTTAGCTCCATTCAGGGATAGCACTGCCATGTATCAAAGTGTCAGGAGACCCACCAGAGATGAAATCTGTCCTACTGCTCTCAAACCACAAAGAAAAATAAATAAAAAACCCCAATTTTGTCAATGCCAGTGGTTACAGCCAAACTGGCTACATTCCTGGCAGCCCCCTGCAGCGTGGGGTGGCTCCTGGCTGTGGGGTCTTGGTCCCCCCAGCCCTCTCCCCATGCAGGGGGGCAGTGAAAACCCAGGTGCCACCACGCCAGGAACTCGCAAGTGTGAAAGCTTCTGCGCTCGCCCATTGCTGGAAGTTCAGCATTTCTACAGCAGGGCAGCTTCCCGCGCAGAAAAACATCCGCGCTCCTTCTCGTGACCTCTAAAAACAGGGTCTCATTTCATCTTGCCGAGCAGCTGCGGAGAGCAGCAGCTGGTGCGGAGCCGCAGGGATCGGCCTCACGCAGCGACACTTTAAGTCGATGGGGAAAAAAATAAAAAAGCCAGTGCCTCAAGGCCAGGCTTTTCGAAGGTATCACAGAGAGCCAACCGCTGGGATTCCCCAAACCGCTCCACCAGGAAAGCTCCTTCCTGCCCAGCCCTGGCACATTCGGCCAACGGTCAGGGATGGAATCCTAAAAATTGGGGCAAAAACTCACAGTATTGTCACTCCTGCACATTCACGGCACCCTCCAGGGCGTGCTGGGGCAGTGCTCCCTGCTGCAGCATCCGCACACGCAGGAGCATCGTTCCCGTGATGGACCAGCATTAAAAGCCGCACACGCAGGGCACGGCTGAAATCCACCAAAGCTGGAAATTAACTACTTTCTTCCCCTCAATTAAATCCGAGGATCCGAAATCACAGCAATACGAGCAGCATGCAAGCTTTTTAATTTCCCCATGTACCTGCACGCAGAAAGCGCCGGTGTCTGAACCACAGAGGAAAAGCCGAGCTGCCAAATTTTGAAAGAATTGCCCCCGCCACCACGGTGCCCAGGGCGCCGGTCGCACAACGCAAACGGGAAGAAGGAGAGGAGAGGAATCCAACCTTTTTCATTTTAACAGCGGCACGGAATGAAAAGTATCTTTATCAGGTAGGCGCCTTTGTCCCGAAGCGCAGATGAAGAGGGGAAATTTTCACTCCTTTTCAAACGACTGCGGGACAGGAGTTAAACTCCAGGTCAAAATGGCACTCGCCGCGCTGGCCTGAGAACAATACTTCTCATTCAAATCCACAAGCCAGCCACTTGCACTAGTCATCCCCAGCAATTAATCCCCCACGAAACACGTTTGATTAAATCTTTTCAAGCAAATCCTTTGCTTTGCTTTTGTTAGTTCACTTCTTGTCAACATCTATTAAAATATGCCTTTAATTCTCCCACAATCTTAAAAAACAC